GTCCAATCAACTGAATTTACCACAGGTCGACTCCAATCAAGTTGTAGAAACATCTCAAGGATGATCAGTGGAAACAGGATGCACCTGAGCTCTATTTTGAGTGTCATGGCAATACTTATGTACATGTGATTTTTTTCCCCGTTTTTTTTTTTATTTTTAAAAAGGTTTCAAAAATAAGGTTCCTATTTTTCAAAAATAGGAAAGATTTCAAACAAAATTCTTTCACCCTGTCATTATGGGGTATGTTTGTAGAATTTTGAGGAAAATAATTAATTTTATAAATTTTGGAATAAGGCTGTAACATAACAAAATGTGGAATAAGTGAAGTGCTGTGAATACTTTCCGGATGCACTGTAGATGGGTAAAAGGTCTTGAAAAAAGGAATCTGGTTGATGGCTGCCAAAACGGCGAGCAGCTATCAATCGGATGGTTTTTCAGTCAGTAAACTATCACATACAACCTAAACAACTAATATAACTTTTATTAACTACACTTTTAATTTAATAACACTTCCTAACACTCAGCCTAGTCATTTTCTTACACCCTTAACTGCTCATTCCTCTACCTCAGGGGTGGCGAACTCCGGTCCTGGAGAGCCGGAGTCCTGCAGAGCTCAGCTCCAACCCTAATTAAAACTCACCTGCCTGTAGCTTCCTAGTAACCCTTCAGGCCTTGATTAGCTTGTTCAGGTGTGTTTGATTAGGGTTGAAGCAAAATAAGACCTCATTAGTTACCCTTATTTAATGCATTAACATTCACAATGAGCAATAGCTAGGTTTGTTACAGAAATTATTCATCTTTGTTTAAAAAAATACAAGTCTTAGTTCATTTTAGCTCATTAAATAACACAGTTGCAACTTTCGATTTTAACATCCTGTTATTAAATATTGGAATACCTAAGATTAATGAATGTTCAGAAGAATTTTTCATTGGCAGTTTATGTTAACTAATGAATTAACTAATGTTAACTAATGGAGCCCTAATGTAAAGTGTGACCGAACAATAAAGAATCAAAACACTTTCAAACAATATCTAGGGCATGTTGTAGTCCAGATTAAAATGTAAAAAAAGTTTTAAAATATATAGCCTATTAAGTCTAAATACTTAAGTATTTGGCGCTGTGATGAACATCATAGCAAATACACAAATCTGAATGGCTGTTTAAATCATTTAAACATGATTCAGAAACAGAAAGTAGTGCAGCTGCTTTGTTTACAGGGTTTCCGGGGTAACGGCTGCATTTAAATGAATTATTATTATTATTATTATTTCTGCAGTTTAGCGCCATCTGTTGTCAGAGAGTGAAAGAGCGCTTTCATCCAGAGCGTCTCTCACATGTTCCGCCATGTGCTTCTGTCCTGGCTTGTTTACATCAGAGCGCGCACATGTCTTTTACACAGCATACAGCGGTGTTGTGCATTTTGACCAGTTGATGGGAAAAGTATTCTTAAAATGCATTCAAAATTCTGAATAATTTGTAATATATAATTATTCACGGTATTTAGAAGTGCCCACGATAACAATATCGTGCATATTCATTACCGTGATACATCGCATTACCGAATACCGGCACAAGTCTAACTGCAACATGGAATGTAGTTTTGTGAGTAAATGTCTTATTTTAAAAAAAGATGGTTAGGCAATTATATGGTAATGGATAAAGAAATAAAAAATGGGCTCTGTTTAGGACAAGCTTATTTACTAGAATGAATCTGACTTTCCAAAATGAGAAAGAGGTCCCTTTAGGACAAACCAATTCACTTGAATGCATCAGACTTCCTAACACTACACATGAAATAAAAAGAGCCAGAAAAACCCAGAAATGAAAATTCTATCATCATTTAGTCACTCTAAGAAGTTATTTGGAAGAATTTTGGTAACCAAATACTTGACAGTAGCCACTGACATTCATAGTATGGAAAGAAATGATACTATGGTTGCTGTCAGCTGAGTAGATGTTGCGGAGCAGGGGTGGGAGTCACCAGAGGCCCCATGATACGATATTATCACGATACTTGCCTCACGATACAATATTATTGCGATTTTAAATAAATTGTGATATATACCTTTTTCCAACTTCAAGGAAAACTTTGGAAACATGTGTTTTTACTAAAAAGAAACATTTCTCAGTTTGTTTATCTCACTTCAGTTGTATTGTTGCAGTGCAAAATGGGATTGTCAAGCAGACAAACTGACCAACACTTTCATTAAGCAGACAAACTCACCAACACTTTCATGAAAACCTGTCATAAATGTTGTATGCACCTGGCAAACTCAACTATTTGCATTACAGTCTAGTCTACTCCACCTTAATTAAATGTAAACAGGTATTATGGTGACCATACGTGCCATTTTCCCAGGACGCGTCCTGGTCAAGATTTGTTTTGGCTTTGTTTTCCTGTTTTCATGCTTGCTGAAGGGAATGATCGAAAAGTAGTTTGACCGATAACATGCAAGCATTGTACATAATGGACCAATCCTGGCGAGTGAGAGGCTGGGCTCTACGGTCAAAGCGATGCAATTACACGTACATATTAGGAGTGTTCGACTTAAAAGCAGTGCGGCTCAGACCGATCAGTGTTTGACATCAAAGTACCTCGAGAGCGTTTCGAAAGCATAACCGTCTGTATGGTATTTTGATGTCATACACCGATCGGTCTGCACACGCAAACAAAGCCAAAACCTAGATATTTTAGGCAATATAGAAATCCTGGCCTGGACACGTCCTGGGAAAATGGCACGTATGTTCACCCTACAGGTATGCACTGCTGTGCTACTACAGGTATTTTGAACAATGTAACTTGTACAACTTGTACAAAAAAATTTGTGCATACACTTCAGCAATTGGGGCATTTGAAAGTAAATTGCTGTTAAATTTAAAATAAATAAAACAGTCTTACATTTAAATGCAGACGGGGCTTTCCTGATAACTTTCTGTGATGCCGCCATCTTTATTTTACAAACTTACTGCATGCTGAAGGTGACCCAGCTGACCTCAACAGAAAAAAAAAACTCAACACCAGCATCTAGTGGACTGTAAAGAAACTGATTTTATTATTCTACCAAATAGTATATTAAAAGATAGATACTTGGCGTCCATGTATCAATACAGCATTGCCGCGGAAAATATCTGTATTGAATTTTTCCCCCACCCCTATTGCAGAGTAGATTTTTTTTTTTTTTTAAAGCACTACTATTTAAGAAAATTGAGGAAAGGAAATATATATACAGTTAGGTCCATATATATTTGGACACTGACACAATTTTCACAATTGTATGCTACCAGAATAGAATTAAAACGAAACAATCAAGATTAAATTGAAGTGCATACTTTAAGCTTGGGGTTGAGCAAAAATATAACATAAAATGCTTAGGAATTACAAACCATTTTTATACACAGTCCCCCCATTTTCAGGGACTCAAATGTAATTGGACAAATAAATATAATCATAAATAAAATGTGCTTTTTTAATATTTTGTTGATAAGTCTGGAACTCATGGACCTCACCAGAGACTGGGTTTCCTCCTTTCTGATGCTTTGCCAGGCCTTTACTGCAGCCAGCTTCAGTTGTTGTTTGTTTGTGGGTCTTTCTGCCTTTAGTTTTGTCTTCAGCAAGTGAAATGCTGCTCAATCGGGTTGAGATCAGGAGATTGACTTGACCATTGCAGAATATTCCACTTTTTTACCTTCAAAAACTCCTGGGTTGCTTCTGCTGTATGATTTGGGTCATCGTCCATTTGTACTATGAAGTGCCGCCCAATCAACTTTGCTCAATTTGGCTGAATTTGTGCAGACATTATATCCCTATACACTTCAGAATTCAGTGTGTTTTTGCGGAGTGTTCTTCTCTTGGCTGGATTTTGTGAAAGGGTTTTTCTTCACCATGGAGAGGATTTTCCGATCATCCACCACTGTTGTTCTCCGCGGACATCCAGGCCTTTTTATATTTCTGAGCTCACCAGTGCTTTCTTTTTTTTCTCAAAATGTACCAAACTGTTGATTTGGCCAGTCTGAATGTTCCTGCTATCTCTGATGGATTTATTTTGTTTTTGAAGCCTAAAAATTGTATGTTTCATTTGTATGGAGAGATCCTTTGACCGCATGATGTGGGTTCACAGCAACAGCTTCCAAATGCAAATGGCACACTTAGAATCAACTCCAGACCTTTTACCTGCTCAATTGACCTATCAGTAAGCCCCTCCCCTCGAACGCAGATGAGCCAATGGCAGTCGAGTATCAGTTGCACGAGGAGCGGAACTCGGACATCTGTAGGTTTCAGCGCCATAGAGAAACATTGGAGGATCGAAGCTCGCATTGGTTTGATGGTGGTTATGCTACAAAAATTGAAAAACGATGTGTCTGGGGTACTTGTAACACTGATTCCACAATGGGAGAGGATGGGCAATAGAATTTATATTATTACATTTACTAAACCCAAACAAAACAGAGCAAAATGTCCCTAAGCATTCAATCCCAATCCCAATGAAGACAAAAACGTTCATTTTCTGGTTGTCATACTCTCATTAAGTTACATTTTTCATCTGCTCAAGCAGAACGTTAATGTCATGTTGCGTTTCAGCAAGGTATCTCTGGCTAAAACTAACATTAAGTTAGTGCGTCCATGCTAAAGTACAAACCTAAATAGCGGACCGTTCTCACGTCATGTACAGTGTAGGTCAAAAACACATAAACGAAGGTCTACATTTCAGTGCCTCTCCATATTAAACTGGTTAAATGTACATGAATTGAATCGTACCCTGCAATACATGAACAGTGTTGATCCTGCATGTTGTCATCCGCTATCGTGATGACCGTAATACGAGACTTCTCCCACTTGCATTGTGATCTGTAAACATGCTTCGAGTTACCCACCATATTTATTTAAAAATATTGTATATATCCCTCCATGGAATATTTAATTTACACTTGAATGGTGGCCCTTCTGTGTCCAAAATTAACATTGTTCAAAACACAACATGTGTGTCCGAGGGAGCAACAGTAACTAAGAGGGGCGGGGTACATATAAAAGAGCTGTATTTCCTTAACCTTTCCTCCAATTGTGATGAGAATACCCTCAAATTTAAGCTCAGAGTGTGCACTTTAAGCCCATATTCATTATATAACTGTAACTTGAATATGTTTTGGTCAACAGCTAAAATAGCAAAAATTGTGCCTTTGTCCAAATATATATGGGCCTAACTATATTTATACATGTAAAAATGTGAATTGATGTTAATCTAATATCACCTCTCTCTTGCAGTTCTCCTATTACAGACAGCAGCCCGTATGAAGTCCGGCGTGCTCAGGAACTGAACAATCTGCTGGGGCTGAAAGGATCCACCGATGCAACAGACATGATCTGTGACCTTCATAACACCACGTCCAACATGGGCCTCACACTCATCCGTTACACATCCAGTGACTGGGTGACCCTGCACATCTGCAAATACTTACAGGCAAGAACTACTAGTGTGCTTCAATAAATGCCGTACTAGAAACTAATAAGGTCAGTCGTTCTCAACTGGTGGGAGGTTTGACCCAAAATTGAACAGACAGCAAGTTGTACATGTCTCAAACAGTTGTACTCAATAGTCAGTGTAAAATCTGGTTCCTGAAGCAAAACCAGTGAAGAACCACACACCTGTGTTGTTGTAAATGTTCCATTATAACTGTTGACCATTCCATGAGTAGAATGTGTTTTGATGCTTTGTGTTATCATGTACACATTTAAGACTAAGATAACCAAAGTGCCTGTGAGAGTGCTGGTACTGGATGTCCCGATTAGTGACGCACATAACTTGGAGTCGGTATCCAAGCATGGCTTTAGTAAGTGATTGTGATCATCTCAATGCCTTTGCTTTGTGTGCTCAACCACAAATGTACATTCAGATGACCTGTGTTTCTGTAGCGTTAGAGATCGGGCCGCAGCCGCATGGTGTCGTCAGAGCCGATATCTATATTATTATGAAAGAGGCCGTCGACTTGACAATAGACTGGATCCACAAATTCAACTCAGGTACTGTAAGACCTGTATAAATTGGGGTTTATATTTGTCTGTTGTAAGTGTGATTTATTTCAAACTATGTTGTCTTCAGGAACGGTGTTTGAAGGCGGGGATGTAGAAGCCTTTAAGTTTATCAAAAGTGTTGATTATCCAAGAGATCCAGAGACTCGGACACTCACTGCTGCCATTCATCCTCAGCTGCAGGTGCCAATCATTCTGCTATTTATGATATTTACACACAGAATCGGCAAAGATAATGCTGTGAACAACATGCCTGAGCTCAAGCTCGTTTTAGAACCATTTTTAATTACAGTAATGGAGAAAAAATATCTAATTGAATTACTGTAATGTGGAAAAAATATAAATGATTAAAACTGTAAAGTATTTATTCATCATTTGTTGTACTGCTTTTATGCTAATTTAAATAAAAAAAATGGTGGTATTTTTTGGGGAATTATATAAAATGGGGAAAATGTACAATGTATGTATGCAAGTATGTTTTGTAAATTAAAGAATTGTTTAATCTTTTTTGGATTCATCTAAAATGTTTTTTTTTTCTAGGACAGAGACTTCTGTCTCCTCAAGCAGGGAGACCCTTTGTTTTTTAAATTTTCTGGAGAAACCGTGAAGTATGAAGAAGAAGAGACACTTCATCCTTTCTTTATCAATGAGGCTGCCTATTATGAAAAAGGAATTGCTTTTCACTTGGGAAAAAAGTTGACACTGAAAATTCCAACAGTGCAAGTGCAGAAAGACTGAAGGATGGGAGAGGAAAGGATATTAAACTCAGCATGATTGCCAAAAAATCTAACATCAATCAGATGATTTTACAAGACAGAATGCCACTTAAATGATTTTAAAACATTTTCAATCACTTATAACTCAGGTAGACATCATGTACATATTTGTAGCTATATGAAAATGAAAAGCTAATTTAATTGTCAAAATCTATGCGTTCCGTGAGTCACATATTACACATTTTTTAAAATGTAATACAATATTTGGTCCAAAGTGTCTTATACATGTAAGGCTGTAACTTCTGCAGTTTAGGCATGTTAGGTCTGTCATGTTATTAATTTTCATGTTGACAACAATCATATTGTCGGGCCTTTGCAGTTTATGGTAATAATACATATTAATGCTTCTTTTAAAAGACATTTTGTTTCTTTGGGTCTTGAAGCAAAACCAGCTGAGAACCACTAATCAAAGTGATAGTGTGAAAACATGTCTGGCAGTCAGAGCCTTTCATCACAGAGACACAAAACTTGGTGGAATGGTTCCTTATAACACCTGCTATTCAGGCAAGCAAACACATCTTGTGGACACTAGGTGGTGCTATATTAAGGTTAGAAACAATTTTTTTTTATCCCTACAAAGTTACTAAAATAATTTGAATTTGTTGAAGTGTTGTGTGTGTGTGTGTGTATATATATATATATATATATATATATATATATATATAAGCGAATTAATTGGTCTGGTGTCGTTGGTTCTCACAAATTAACATACATTTCCTGAATGCAACGTCCAAACATAAAACTTAATACACAAACTACAGAACATACTGAGGACAGTACAGCAAGAGTGATTCGAAAGCATTTAGGGCTGTCTTCTCTCTATAGGTCTCACGTGCACTATGTGTAATGATAATTAACAAATGGATAGACATTTCAATTTGATAGATAAGAGCCCAGCAGCCACCTGAGCAAAATGTAATAATTTAAGTCATTTGATAACTGTCATTGATATGACTTTATAGTAAGCTATTAAGAGCGATAAAGTGCATGCTTCAGCTGAAATCTACTGCACATTCAGCACAGCTAATGAAAACATCAACCTTTGAAATAACGTATGTGAACATTGAGATTACGCCACTAAATATGGTGAGCCCCGGTTGAAATGCATACACAAGAATGCTTATTTCATTTAAACCAGTTCTCATGTCGTTACTGTTGCATATCCTCGGAGCGATGACATGCTCTTGACTGCATTTTGCTCCAGCTGTATCAGCACAGATCCCTAAATGCTACTGCTAATATGCTTAATATTTCGCTCCTGCATACGAATGCAAGACTGCCCACATGACACTTAGTTTTTAAACTTGTTATGGTTGCTCTTTTTTTAAATTAATTCGGCAGACAACGCAATATGCACAGCGATATGGAGTAAAAGAGCATTCACTTATCTTAAATGTTGATTTCAGATGTTTTCTGAAGCGCACTTCACTGCTACAGCAAGCACTAGCCAAGTATTTGAATGTTGAGCAGAGAGCTCATTAGCTGCTGATGCCAAAAGAACCAATCAGCCTTGCCATGTGATAATCATGTCATTATGTCTGAAGAGTTTGACCTATCGGACTGCGCCATCTAGAGTTTCATGCCAGAACTTTGGATATAAATACATTTAGACCACTTAACTAACTCCGAGTTCACACTGCACGATTTTAGCCCGATTTTTCACTCGCCGACAGGTTTTGCGAAATCGCCGACAACTGCCCGAAATCCGAGGCAAATCGGTGCTCGTTCACACGAGTGACAATCACGCAGTGTGAATTATCAAAGACGCGATCTGAGGGAATCGCCGACACGTCGCCGACGCCTGCAAAATTTTGCGATTCACAATCACGCTGTGTGTAATGATTTCTGACTCAAAACTACATCGGCGATGACCTAAAGCCAATAACAGACCAAGATACAGGGCAGAGGGAAGTTCGGGGAGGAGTTATAGACCAGAATATCAGTATTTTAATAGATATATGAACAATTATATCATACAGTAACAAGCACAAACATTTGGTTGACCAGCCACAACATCAGCGTAACAGTTACTGCAAAATTATTTACCTCCAACTCTCTTTGCAGAACACCCAATCCCTGTTCCCTGCATCTCCCTCCTGCATAATCTGTTTTTCTTTTTCTCCTTGTAGGTGGAAATCAGCTCACAGACAATTTGCGGGCTATATATATTTTTTAATAATTACAGTCTTGCGCGCGATCGAGAACTCCGGTCTGATGCACGCGGGTTCTCGCATTATTTCCTTATCACTTCTCGCATGTGTTTTGTTGTGAAACGTAGTTTGCGAACCAGACAGCGCTGTCGGCGATTCTTCCTATTGTGAAGTCATGCAGTGTGAAACCCCCTGTCGCCGATCCATCGTGCAATGTGAACACAGCAGCAACTGAATGCTACCCCAGATAGTCACGCAGTGTGAAAACAACGGCGATCCGACGAGTTTGAAAATCGTGCAGTGTGAACTCAGCATTAGTGATTGCTATAGTCTTTCAACCAGGATAATTTTTTTAACCATATCATCTACCCTACCTTTAAAATGTATCCACCATTCTAATTTTCTGTTCAAAATCATTCAATGCAGTTTGTCCGATTTGTATGAAATTTTGTGTGTATCATCTAGAGATGTTCATGACAAAAAGATTAATTTAATCATGTAGCAAATATAGGCTAATGTTTTTTGGGTGTGGCCCATAATGACTGATTGACATATATCTTGTGATTGCAACATCCAAAATGTAGATCTTGATACACATGGACAACAGGACATTATGAAACCTGTAAAGTTTCTTGAATTATCAATGCTTAGAGGCACCATAAGTCAGCACAATGCTAACAGCGCAATTCCAACCAAAGAAATTTTTTTTTTTGGCTGTTTTGCAACAGCAGATGTTTATGCCCTGAGGAAGTAGGAGGAAATAGTGACAGGAAATACCGGTTTGTTATGAAAGACAGGCAGGAGCCAGTTGTAATGTTTAGGTATAATTGTAGGTTCTGCAGTCCTCTCAGTTGTCATGTTTCTCCTCCCCTCTCTTGTTTTTCTTCCACACACACATTCTTTTTAGTGCATGTATGAGTCAGCAAAATGCTCGCTTCATGCTGCAGCTCCAGTGGAAGTGAGAGTTGCTGTGACATTAGCATCATGTGTGAAAGATGATCCAGGGCTGGTGACTGAAGCAGGCAGAGGAGGTCGAGCTAAATCATTGTATGTTACTTTACTGTGTTTGAGCAACTGGGGAGGAATGTCTTAAACTATTAATATGTGTGGTTGTGTGTGCAGATGCAGCTCCTGCAGTGTTGTGGCCCCTAAGGCTAGATTAGGCCTGTACCGACTGAATGTGTGTCAGCACGCATGCTCTGTCACACCTCACCATATGTGTCCAAAGGTCTGCTGTGTCTTGTGCAACTTCACTCAGTAAGACGATTAGAGGGAAAGCAGCTGGAAGAAGGAGTGAAACAGTATTACTTCTGTATTAAAAATAACGGTAGGTTTACCTTTCATTTTTAGAGCTGTTGCTCTGATACGTTGCATGTTGTTGTAAAATGTGAGACAGCTTGTAATAATGGTCTTCAATAAATGCATATTATTTAAGAGAGCTACAGAACACTTCATTCTAAAGGAAAACAGCAAAACTCCCTCTAGCAGCAGATCTTAAACTAATACCATGGTCACATGTTCTTAAAGGTGTACACACATGGATAAACACTTGCCAAATGAGAGTAAACATAGACGTAATAAAGTTACCCACTAGTCACCCATAACTTTATTAGAAACTGCAACATTACAGTTTGAATGGAATTCTTGAAATGTGATGTATGAAAGCCAAAGACATACAAACGGTCTACTAAAGAAAAGTGTTTGTGACTCACACAACTTCTGTCTTTTAAGTTAATCTAAGATGCGTAAAGTTTTTTCCCCTCTAGAACTCCATGTGGCGACACACATATGGAACATTCTTCAGATTCATTAAATATGAGGAACATTTTTCTTAAACACTTCTACATCCGCTCAGTGTTATTTTAGTATCATTTATATACTATTATAGTTCTTATTAGTATTTTGAATTTGAATTTTTTGAATTTTTTATTTTTATAGCGTCTGTTTTCATTTTAGCTAAAGGTTTAGACATTTTAATGTGATTTTTTAACATTTTTGCTAGATTTTTAAAAACAAAATCAATTTTTTATTAATTTGTATTTCAGCTGTAGTTATTTTAGTACTTCGAGTTAAACTAAACCAAAATTAGAAATATTGCCTTTGCAACTAGCTGAAATAAAATAAAAAGTTGATCTATCTAAACAATGTGTGACCCTTGTTCTGTTGACCTCCGCCATAGGATTATTAATGATGTTTTTGTTGTTTATTAACTCTCTCATCAGTTCTACAAATCATCTACAACTACAAATCATAAGTCAAGTACATAATGTTATTATATTGTCAAAAAAATAAGCTATAGGTATGGGTTAATCTGAATGAATTTAAAAAAATTGTTTACACTAATGCACTTTCAACTGAAGTCAAATTACTTTAACTGTTAACTGTCAACATGCCATAGAGCTCAATTTATACTGGCCACACCTCTTTCTCACCCACTGCTGGAGATTTTGGGCCAATGCAAATTGGTAATGGGTAAAAAAGGTAATAAAATCTGTTTAATACAGTGTGTTCAACAATAACAACATGCAATAGACTATAAATCAATATTCAGATCACTGAATGGGCTCATGATGTAATAATTATGGTAGACAGACATTAAAATATTGCCATACCATTTGAAAACTCAGAGTGTACTTTTCTGTTGTAGATGGCATTAGTGTTCCTGCCAGCACTGGCTCGTATGGCCGTATGCGGCGGCACCCATGGGAACGAGCTGTCCGGTGTGTATGTGGTGCAGGAGATGGAGCGACAGCGGAAAGAAAACGGAGAGGGTGTGTGGCCGATTCCTGTAACAACTGTGCTGTCAAACCCAAGGGCTGTGAAAGAGTGCAGAAGATACATTGACACAGATATGAACCGCTGCTTCAACAGAGACACGCTGAGGTGAGATGTGGAACTGCAACCTGGAATGTAGTGCCGAGTTCACACTGCACGATTTT